TATGTAATTTCTCGTATATTTAATGAGTTGTAAATTTTCTCTAGAATAAACGTTTCCATTCGTGTGTGTTTGCCGTGCAACGGACAAATAAATCACGATGCAGTTTTGTATAATTAATTTAATTTTTAAGTCCTCATAACAACAAAACACTAATTGTTAAATATAAACAAATTAATCCGAACTTATTAGTACCAAAATAATTTAAGAACACATATTAAAGATTGAAGAATTTTTTAACGCGTTTAACGTAATGATTATAAAAGAAAAAAAATTAATTTTAACAAAATAAACTTTACACATAAAAACAATAGTAAATTTTTATTTATTTAATATTATTCTTGACAAAAAAGACTATTAAAATCTATGCAATTCTCATTTAGAAAGCCCGTAGATTCATGGAAAAGATATTTATTTATCGAGGAAAGCTTAGGAATTAACCGTCCAAAAATAATAAAATAGAGTCGTTTAAACGCTCTGCAAAAAAACTCATTTTGTTTCTAATAAACGACAGGTTTTAAAGATGTCCATTCAGGGTCAATTTTGGCCATTTTTACACTCTCTCCTTTATGGCGATAATAAAATAATTTTTTCTTGTTTGAAAACTATTGTAGCCACGATTCATATTCGAGTTTTCATATTAGAATTTTCATCTTAAAAATCAAAAAAGCTCTTATTAAAATATTTAATGTATAGATACATTCCATGAAAATGTTTCTCTTTCCACCAAACCTTTTTGGTATAATTCAATCTGACAGCATAGACAAATTACGGTTTAACGTCAAATTCTCTCTGAAGTGCCATAATACATACTCCAAAGATTTTTTCGCATTAAACACGATAACATATTATCAAAATTTGCACATTAGAATTTAAAATAAAGGGTAAAAATAAGGTAAAAAAAATGCATTTTGCCCATTTTCTTTAAAAAAACATTATTTCTTAAAAAAAAAAACTTATTATTATTTCTAATAAAACTTATGCATCTAAAAATACAAATGTTTTAATATAAGTATATGCTGTGTATTCAATGTGTAGAATTAGCAAAAAAATAAAAGAAATCTAATGCAGTATGCAGTTAAACAATTTATATAAAAACAATTATAATTAAATAAAACATAACAAAAATATCAGACATCGTTTATCAATACATTGGCAATCGATATCAATTTAACTAATCATTTCTGGGAATGTATTAATTAGAACTTATAAAATAAACATATTTAAAATTTAACGATTTTCTTAACGATGTTATTTTTATTTATTAATCATAAATCGTGTCGATAATACAACATCGATTATGGTTAAAGTTTATTATGTTTTTTGCATGTTACCATGAAAGTTGTTTATCATTTTGAGTATGTGCCAGATTCCATCTATTTGCGGAACAATACATTGATACATCACATGATCCGTAAATGCGATGTACACGTGTATACGCGAGGAATCTTCCGCGTGTAATAATTCAACTGGCTGTAATAACGAGTAGTGAACCAGCTAATGAATAACCGGTGGAAATTAAACAGCTCGTAAATCGAATTTCCAACTCGTTTGCGGGTCCTGATTGCTGCTACGCGACGGTCATCGGTAGAGGATCAGGAGAGTTAAAAATAAATAGATTGATAGTGACACATTCAATCTCAACACACGTGCCATTCGAATTTGAGTGATAAGTTCAACTTTGTTTTTTTCAGCTTTGTTTTTTTCTTTGATAATGGAAATACAGTTTTGTAATTATGTTATGTATTTGTAAATATTTAACTGTGAGATAACCAGATGAAAATTGTTTTGTCTATATAGATCTCTGCCATCCTCCCCCCCCTCTCTCTCTCTCTCTCTCTCTCTCTCTAGTATGTATTAGGTCGTTCGGAAAGTAATTTCGTAGTAATTTTTTTCTTATGAAAATGAAAGACGATTTTCAATCAGACGCATTTCAAATGATGATGAACGGTCGAATTCGATAAATTTAATCTCTCAGCGATCTCGCGAGTTGTTATTCGCCGGTTTGCATCAATTAATGCCTTTATTGTGTCTTCATCAGCTTCAACTGGCCTTCCAGAACGTGGTGCATCTTCAACATCAAAATTGCCGGATCGAAATTTT